CCAAATTCTCAAAGTACTCGTAATTCTTAGTTGACAGCTTGTTTCTTTTGCTTCCTCTTATTAAAATCATTAATCATTGCGCACGAAAATGGCCAAATCTATTGAATATATATATATATATATATATTGTGTATGTTTAGGCAGCAACTTTTCATTAATGTATGTTTAATTAAATAATATAGACAAGTTTTGTCTATTTATTTTAAGTAAGTTGCGTTCATATTGTCTGATAAGCTTATAATTTATAACAGAAGCCATTGGTTTATACCAACGGCTTCCCATACTTAATATTTGTCATTTTTAACTCTCTCGTGGTCATGTGTGACGTCACGAGCTCTGACGCGATTTTCGCTTCCGCGTCTCGTATACACGAGTTTGTCGTTACTTGGAGATTTTCAGGCAGCAGGGGCGGACTATCATTGTTGTTTCGTCCGTGTGTTGTTAGATTTATTGAAATTGTCATTTTTGATAATGGCTTATGTAAGCCGAAAGCTTAGATTGGATTTAAACATGTATCAATATGCTGATTTCCTTTCGTCTTTCAACGATAATGTGATTAAGCTTATCAGACAATTGAAAAAAATATTTATTCGAAAATTGTAACATACAAATGTTACGTTTGAAGCTACCCATGGTTATTTTTAAATTGGCCCCCAAAGTAGTTGCTTTGTATTTTAAATAAGTGAAAATGATAATGCACGAGCCTAAAAACCACCCTCTCGGGTGGCATTTAAGCTAGTTCCTGTGGAAGGCCTTTGATTGGGCCTTCGGCGTGTTCAGGAGTATGAGAATCCGTAAGTCTTTGCATATTCTCAGCATTGGAAGCTCTCCTGGGTTGCCGTTTGATCTGCACGGGACATTGTTTTCACAATTAATTTCGATTGCTCCTCAAATTTATTCCCATGTTATAAAAACTGTTATCGTACAATAAAAAATTAGTCGTAAAAAATGACGTAAACAATCGCCAAAACAATTTGGAATTCAAAATTTCTGTAATATGAGCTATTGAAAGTTAGAGAGTTATGTCCCTTTAACTGAAAATGTGTGACACACTGACAAATTTTCAAATTAATACCCTCATATAGACTTGATCGCTACAGCAGAAGTATTTATTTGCTGCAAAGGTTTCTCAGCGTATATGCTTGATAATTGATTCCTTTCTTTTTTTTTCAATGACTCTAACAGCTCTTTTTCATTTTTTTCACTCTCCTGTCAAATGATTCTATGCTAATACTGAGGGTGGCTTCAAAAATTTCGAACTGTAGTACACACACACACACACACACACATACATATATATATATATATATATATATATATATATATATATATATATATATATATCAGTCAGGGTTTCGATCCGAGCTAGAGGCAACCGGATGTCTAGTCACACTGATGAGCTGTGAAACAGCGAAACAGTCTGTGGATGACGTTATATTGGCTCCTGAAATATCAATTTCACTTGAGCTCTCTGGGGACGAGGTGTGGGTTGGTAAACAGTGACTATTATAGCTATATAGCGAGACTCTTCGCAGATGCGAATTGAGTCACTGTCGGTCACTGGGCGTGTTTCTAAAAATAAATACGCTAAAAAAAATTCACTTTCATTCCTACCGCGCGCCGACGGCTTAATGGTTAGAATCTCCGACTGACACCAATTCAGTCGGGTTTTGATCCTAGCTAGAGGCAACCGGATGTCTAGCCACGCTGATGAGCTGCGAAACAGTCTGCCTGTGGATGACTATATATATATATATATATATATATATATGCGTGTGTGTGTGTTATTTCATACTGTAGAGATGCCAAGGTCAATTATCGCTTTGGTTAAGACGAAGTGATGAGTGTTATATGTCGGCCGGTAAATGATGTGAGTTCGTGCTGCGGCAAAAAAAGAACAGAGTTGCTATTTAGCCCGCGTAGGGACCAAATACGACCTCACGCGCCAATTACTGACGATAGACCGCGAAGTCAGTAGATATACTCTCAAGCCCACAGCGTTAGGGAGAAAAGAGAAGCCCACATATTGTACCTCGAAGTTTGTAGAACATACTACTAATCTGGCATGTTCCTTCGGTAAATATTAGAAGCAAGACCCTCTCGCTTTTGAGACGAAATAGTGACAAGTATTTATATATTTTTTTGTGTAAAATTTCAGATAGCAAATGGACAATATGAATAACGACAAAGGAAGATTTATCTTATATTTATATATGATTTATTACATAACATGGCGGAATATAAAATCTCTGAGAATAAAGCACTTTTGTCGGTTCTTTCTTTCGGTTATTCTGTTCCGTTCTTGTGTAGAGTAAGCGGAAGTGAACAACATGAAATCAAAGCAGCAAATGACAAAATTAAATACACCGCGCAAGGGCTCCGCGCAAAGGCTCCGCACAAGGGATCCGCGCAAGGGCTCCGCGCATGGGCTCCGCGCATGGGCTCCGCGCAAGGGCTCCGAGCAAGGGCACCGCGCAAGGGCTCCGGGCAAAGGCTCCGAGCAAGGGCACCGCGCATGGGCTCAGCTTCCGGTTTTCAAACTTAGTTCAAATTTTCAATTTAATAAAGATATATAGCGAATAAAATAAGCTCCCGGCAGTAAATAAACACAGGATCCTGAAGCCTATAGAAGACTATAAAAACCAAACATTCATTCAGCTCGGCAGTAGGACTGACAGTCTTAAAGCGACACGAGTCAAACTTGGCGTCTTGTCTTTCTCACCAAAGCAAAAACTAACTTCCTTTAATCTTGTCTCCCAATTCCATTTCTCTCTTTCTCATTGAAATGGTATTCATGTTCCTTTCCTTACAGTCAAAGAGAAGAACTTTTTAGTATCTGTCTATATTTCTGTGTATTATGTACACTATTTACATTATTCGGACTATTGTCCTCATCTTTGTCACCATATTTATCCCAACGCTTCGGCCGTTGTACAATCCGGCCTTCTCCAGATAGTTGAAATGTCTAACTGAACACTTTATTTCGCTCGCTGGGGTAGACTGTTCTCGTCCCACGTGCCATGTCTAGTGAATGTCAGTTATCTCCTGTTAATTCCCCTCTCCAAGTTCTCTACTACCTTCATCAGATACTGAACTCACACTCTTTGGGTCTTGTCACTGAAAAAAAAGGCCAACACTCAATAATACCAACTATGAAAACGGTCACAATGTGCTGGCCGTGTTTGGAAAATAAAACATTTCCTATAAATCTAGATATACATAATAAAAACATTTAGTTAAACGTAAACGCTCGCTGGGGTAGACTGTTCTAGTTCCACTGTACGATGCGTCCTTAAGGCGTGGTTCGATTCAGTGACAGGACCTAAAGTGTTGTGAGTTCAATATCTGGTTAAGGCAGTGGAAATCTTGGAGAGGGGAATTAACAGGAGATAACTGATAACTGACATCCATTAGACATGGCACGTGGAAGTAGAACAGTCTACCCCAGCAAGCGAAATAAAGTGTCCAGTTCGACACTCCAACCACCTGAAGAAGGCCGGAGCGTACAACGGCCGAAACTCTGAGATAGATATAGCAACAAAGATGAGGACAATAGTCCGAATAATGTAAAGAATTTTTTTTTAACTTTCATTTTATGTTTAGTTATTACAGCTAAAATTTGTGTATCCTACTTTTAAATAAATATCATTTTATTTGAAGACGCCACAAAATTTTTTCTCATTTTTCTTATTCAAATCGTGACTCAAGAAATCTTTCCCCAACTATTATATGAAGGTTTTATTATATTCTACATTATATAATAATGCGTAGAATGGGGAAAATGTAAATTGGAAATATTCAGCCCAACAAAACTATCAACTCTCCTGAAGAGCGGATGCAGTTCTACGAAATTTAGGTTAGAGACAAGATAAGTGAACACTTTGATTATTGATTACTAAATACATACATTAATCACCACAGAGATCCTTCCCTGCCCCCCATTAGAATGTCTGACGCTCAACTTCTCGAGAGCACCTCTCTGCGGCTGCTCGGTCTCACATTGACTGCTGACCTGAGATGGAACAAATACATTGAGTCAATTGCTTCGTCCACCAAAAGGAAAATTTGCTCCCTGTGCAAAGCCAAGAAATTTTTCTCCCCGGAATCGATCCTTCAAATATATAAATCAACTATTCGCCCTTGCGTGGAGTATTGCTGCCATATATGGTCTGGAGTCCCTTCGTTTTGCCTCGGGGTTCTTGATAAGATCCAGAGGCGGATATGCAATATAATTGGCCCTGTTCTGGCATCTCGTCTACAATCGCTCTCTCACTGATGCGCCGTCGCCTCTCTCTGTCTGTTCTACAAATACTTTCATGGTAATTGCTCCGATGAGCTGCTTTCGCTGATTCCCAGACTTCGCGAATTCAAGCGTCCTACGAGGCTGGCATCCCGCTCTCACCCTTTCACTGTTGAAACTGTCAAATGTAGCCGTCTCTTCTACTCCAATAGCTTCATATCTCACACCTCTCGCCTGTAGAACTCCCTTCCCTTTTTCTGTTTTCCTGGGAGCTATAATCTCCAACTATTCAAATGTAATATCAATCGACATCTCCAGTTGCCTTGATCTATCCCCTATCCTTCTCCTCATCCTTTCCTCTGTCGCTCCTATCTGATCTCGTTCCAAATCCTCTGTAACCCCTTGCGTCCTAGTGGCTTCCCGCCTTGCTTGGGGGTGAAATGCTTAAAAAAGAAAATGTGAAGAGAAAGTGAGAAAATGGCTGAAACTGTCCTCCAGGAGAAAAAATGATGATTATATTGATTAGAAAAAAAAAGGGAAGGGGAGAGAGAGAAACGGAAGTAAAATTCGGTTGTCTCTCTTTAACAAAATTAAATCCCAGTTCGTTTTAGTTATGTCGTAATGAATCCGCTACCCTGAACCAATTCCAGTTTCGAGAATTGAAGAAGGCACAATGAAGGTAAACTGCTGGGATGGGGTGGGGGAAATGAAAGCGAGGAAAATGGACCGGATGAAAAAGTTCACGTCTTGTAAATATCAGCTTGCTCCGTATTTGTGCCGCCTCAAGTCAATCGGTATCAGTCTATCTATCTCAGTCTCTTGATCTATCTATCTGTCTATCTATCTCTTTCAATGTCAGTTCATATCTATCTATCTATCTATCTATCTATCTATCTATCTATCTATCTATCTATCTATCTCTTTCAATGTCAGTTCATATGTATGTATGTATGTATCTATCTATCTATCTATCTATGTCAGTCTCTTCATCTATCTATCTATCTATCTATCCGTTTCAATGTCAGTTCATATCTATCTATCTATGTATGTTACTGTATATATGAATCTATCTATTTATTTTTATCATCTCACTCCAAGGAAGGCAATAAAGCCACTATGCTCCGTGTGATTACTGTGTGTGTAAGAATAGATACAGACGAGAAAAAGGAAAAATAACATTATTAAGGGAACAATAAAAGAACGGGAATTAAGAAGAGAAAAGATAACGATTGACATTGCTTTGTAATGGTTGAATTTGAACTTTAACTGGAATCAAGTGGCCGTAAAAGAGTTACACATACGGAAAGTGCTGCAGAGAAGGTACAGTTAACATAGGACGGTTATATCTATCCAATTCAATTGTAAAATGATGAAACCGATCTAGTACTGTACTTCATTTCGACGTAGCGAAAAGGAGAGCTTAGAAGAACAATTACCATGAAAATATATATAGTAAAGGTGCAGGGTAGCTAAGTTACGGCGGTGAGAAGGTGACTGAAAACTAAAAGCCAGGCCAGGGCCGATTTTTTAGTGCACGAACGTGATTTCATATCTATCTATCTATCTATCTATCTATCTATCTATCTATCTATCTCGGTCACTGAGGATCGAAGTGGTAATAACAGACCAAACTATCTATCTATCTATCTATCTATCTATCTATCTATCTATCTCTCAGTGAGTATCGAGGCCATTACTCAATGGGAATACCAGACCAGATTATCTATCTATCTATCTATCTATCTATCTATCTATGCATATATCTATCTATCTATCTATCTATCTATCTATCTATCTATCTATCTATCTACCTCTCAGTGAGTATCGAGGCCATTACTCAATGGGAATATCAGACCAGATTATCTATCTATCTATCTATCTATCTATCTAGCTCTCAGTGAGTATCGAGGCCATTACTCAATGGGAATATCAGACCAGAGTATCTATCTATCTATCTATCTATCTATCTATCTATCTATCTATCTATCTATCTATCTATCTATCTATCTATCTATCCCAGTTTGTTCATTATCTATCTATCTAGCTAGCTAGCTATCTAGCTAGCCAGCTATACCTATTCATATCTATCTATCTATCTATCTATCTATCAGTGAGTATCGAAGCCATTACTCAGTGGTAATATCAGACCAGACTATCTATCTATCTATCTATCTATCTATCTATCTATCTATCTATCTATCAGACCAGGCTAGTCTCGCTAACAATTACTCGACACCGAGACAGCTATTTCGTTAGTTTGTTGATTTAATGGCATGTCGATACATTTTGTATTTAAGGGTGACTTTCTGCATGGTGATTCCAGTGAGGATCGAACACTCTACTCAGTAGAAATGGCCACCCAGACCCCTCCGATCCACCTCTTACTGTGCATTTTTGGGTATGTGATCGCATGGGTGTGATCTAATATATAGTAAACAAATCTTCGTATCACAATTGTCTTTTGAAAATGTACAAATACAAATAGCAATGCGTCACATGCAACGGTGCTTGCAAATTCCTGACCAAAGATGTCGATTTTCAAGATGAGCAGGACGCCATATTGTATTCATTCGTTGGGAACAATTAATCTGTTTCTTTTGTTGTTGATTGATGATTTGGAGAAACATAATCGCTTTTGCAGGGATCTTTTTACCTTTACCCTTATTATACCTTCTCTCTCTTCACAACCACGCAGACTTCATATATATATATATATATATATATATATATATATATATATATATATATATATATATATATATCCCAGCCACTATGCCTAATACCCTCTATTTGAGTATAAATATTACCTAGGTACTTGAGTGGTACATGCTAATAATAATTTTTTTAAATAGTGGGTTTAATATTGATAGGCGGGAGAGAAGTGTATACATGATGGATAATGATGTCAGTCATTTCATGGACGGAGACATTAGTAAATAAATTTTGTACACCCAAAAATGCAATTATTTGGTTGTTTCGTTTTACAGCATGAAGAATTTGTACAAATTCATTTGTGGAGTTAATACAATATTTATTTCAGAGGTAGGGAGTAATTAACTTGTTAAAGGTTTTGAAAGGTAATATACTGGCATAGGTATTTGTGAAATGATAGGTCAGAAGGGATGATCTTTTTTATGAATTTTTACATTTCCATAAAGGTAGCCAGGTTGATAGTCACATATAATCTTTTAAAGTTTATAAGATCCCGTTTCGTCATTGTTAGCAGTAATAAGTTTATTGATATGATTTTTAAGTTGGGAGGAAATGTTATTGGTTAACTTTTAAATTTACTATGTTAGTCCAAAATGACATGTAATTTTGAGTGGTACTCATGTTTGTTTAAAATAATGAATGTATTAGTTTTATCAGTTAGTCGTTATTTGTTTTTTTTTTTAGTTATGCGGTTGCTTTTATTAAAGGAGTGTCTATTATTCCATTTGGATTTTTATGATAACGGTGTTTAATAGATTCGGCTTTAAGTAATTCTTTTAAACCTACCTGTGTTTTGTTCTAACAGAAGTATTGGTTGATATAAAATTTCAATTTGCATTTCATTAAACATTAAATTAGGTTTGTGTGCGTCATGAAAATCTAGTCAAAGATTAAGGAATTCCATTTCATTTGGAATGAGTTGGTAATCCAATAGGTTAATGAAGTTGTTGGTGTTTCGTAAAAACATTTTCCCTTTATATAATGTGTTTAGCATTTTTTTGATTACATGTTTATGGGATTCATTTTCTTTTGTGTTGTATTATACAATAAATCCAATATTTCCTTGAATTTTTCAGTTGTGGTAGAAGATTATAAGATTCCTTTAATACATACAATTTCAGTGTTGAGACATTGTAATTCCTGTTTGGCTGTGTTTATTTGTCTTTTAATGAGGTTCCATTTAAATTTCTTGGTGTTGGGACCATTTAATGCTACAGCATCATGTAACTTGAATTTAGTGTATTGGGGCAGCAGATCATTATTTAAACATATATTCTTAAATATAACAGACAATGAAGGTATATTGTTTGATCATTGCCCATGAGCCGTTCTAAACATCATACGAATGCTTTAATTTCGTGTGAAAATAAAGACAAAAACTGTCCAACATTTGGATATTCTTTTATTATGCTGTTCCTTGATTTAAGCTTTCGACTCATATGGGCCATCTTCAGAGTGGTTATGCGGACATTTAAACAAATATATTCACCACCAAAGATGATATTCTATTATGTTAACATAGAAGATTGCTATGCGCCGATAACTGTCGCGGAATAGCAGACGCAAGTCGTAAATTCCGGATGCGGCTCTCTGACCACGTGACAGACCGAAATATTAACAACAGAACCATATGTCTAGATGCAATGTAATATGCTGTGACTAGTCTGAAATGTAATTTTGCTGAGCGTGGGTTGCTTTGTTTTAATGTAGATGGCCTCCACTATCTGAAGGTTCTTTTTACTGTGTGTATGTGTGAGCACTGTTGTGTTATCAACTAATATTTGTCTAATATTATGTACATGGCAATGTTTTTCTAAGAAATGTTCTTTCATAGAACTAAGATCAGAAATGTAACAGGTAAGTCATATATATATATATATATATATATATATATATATATATATATATATATATATATTATGGATATATATGTACATATATATATATATATACTGTATTTGTATATATATGTATATATATATATATATATATATATAATTGCATGTATATATGTATACATATATGGATATATATATATATATATTGTATTTGTATATATATGTACATGTATATAATTGTATGTATATATATATACATGTATGGATATATATATATATATATATGTTTGTAATGTATATATATTGTATTTGCATATATATGTACATATACATATATATAATCGTATGTATATATGTATACATATATGGATATATATATTTATAGATATATATGTATTCGTATTTTTGTATACACATATATGTATATATATGTATTAGTATATATATATATATATATATATATATATACTAATACATACATATATATATATATATATATATATATATATATATAAATGGAAGAGGTTATAGTAGTTCAGCGAGAAAAGTGTGTATATTAAAAAGAAGGAGAAACCGCAAACGTTTTTTTTGCTGCAATGTGGATTTAAAAAAAAAAAATATTATGCTTTATTGTCCATATTTTTGCTACACGTGTTTCCGGTCTCGCTACCTTCATCAGGCAAAGAGTGGATATTTCCACATATTATGAAAAGGAATTAATTTTTCTTATGTTTTTCGATGTTTAATATTCTCGATATTAGACGTTCTCTTTTTTCTGCGTTAGTGACCCAAATGTCTTCCTTGAACTGGCATTGAAAAAGTTCCGCATGAAGAGCTATAAAACAATTAAGATTGGTCCGAGAAAGGGTTAGAGAGGTATCTGTATTCTTATCTTTTAAAGATCCCCGGGTTTTCTTCGATCTATTTCCATTTTTGTGTTTGTGTCAGCATGCGTATTTATACATACATACATACTATCTTATGATAAGGAATTAGTACACTCATATGTACACATAAACATATACACACACATACACATACACACACATACACAAACATACACGCACACAGTTCCTATATTGTGTAGGGCTCGTGTGTGTGTAGCAAAATTATCGAAAATAAAGCATAATTTAAAAAAAAATCCATATTACAACCAAAAAGTTTTGCGATTACTCTCTTCTTTTTAATATATATATATATATATATATATATATATATATATATGTGTGTGTGTGTGTATGTATAATTACGCGCGTGCGCGTGTGTCTGTTTTTGTGTACGTGTGATATCGTTCTTGTAGCAGGGTGTTTTCTTTTTTCGTTTTCGTGGTTTTCAACGTTTTAAGCCCGGGGGTGTGGAGGGAAGCTTTCCGTTATCTGTTTTTCCCCAGAGTTTCAGGGGAGAAAACCCTGTTATCAATATTCGTTTCCGAAACCTGAAAACTTTGGCTTGGATTTAAATTTCGCCCTCGTCTTATATTCGATACAAAACTGAATTCCTTTTGGTGGCTATACGTATTAGAATTATTCGATTGATATTAAATCCGGCATTTTTTTTTAATTTCATCATACGAGTATTCTCAGTAATGAACTTTGAAGTAATAGGCATACGTAAGTATATGCGCCTATTTTTAAAGGCCTCACCTGGAAACGATTAGCCGTTCTATGACAATAGAACGGCTTACCTTTAGTAAATGACCATTTTCACATACTGATTTTAAACTTAAAACTCGCACGGTTGGTTTTTCAAACTGTTTCTGGTATCAGTTTGTAGTGTACCATCAAGAAGTATATATATATATATATATATATATATATATATATACTAGCAGCATGGCCTGGCGTTGCCCGTGCTTGATTCAAAACTCGTACGACTCATACAGCAATCGCTATCACTTGATTTAAAATATTTTTGCCCTTCCTTGCCTTTAAAGGAGTGCCCTTTGCCGTGCTGATGTTGTTACATGCCTTACTTCTTGCCTATCTCACACTGAGAATTTTTTCTAAGCTCTATACTAAACATTAAATCTGTTACGAAAAAAAGAACTAAACAAATTGAACACAAAACGATCAGCTTTAAAAAAGGACTCGTAAATGGAAAAACCGAATGAAAAAAGAATGTTAACAACAAATACTTTTTCACACCCAACCCAGTTCTGCGGAATCAGAATCAACGTTGAGTTTAAGCAAGCGAATAAGCCAATTGGAGTAAAGTGCCATGCAGATTTAAATTTTTCCCACTTGTGACGAATGCAGCTAATGATTTTTTTGCATGCTAGCATGTTAGTTAACATTCGTGGCAGTCAGCTGTTGGCTCTCATGCTGGCCAGTAGAATCTTCCTGCCTATTCATGGCAGCCAGCTATTGGCTTTCAATCTGGCCAGTAGAAAATGGCCGCAAACTACATGAAAACTGCCGTAGAAGCATGAAAAAATCGATTATTTCTACTATCGATGGGAGTTGGGAAATGCAAAGTCGGTCTTGGGCTTTCCGCTAACTTGGAGCATGAGCATGTAAATTTTGGTGCAAATCCGTCGAAAATTGCGGCCGTGCATTCGTTACACACACACACACACACACGCGCGCGCATATACCGTTATCCTCGTTTGTTTTGATGTTCTGAAAATGATGTCGATGAATGATAACATTTTTTCATCTTACTAT